TTGGTTAAATAAAATATTTTCAAGTTGCTTTGGAGATATGGCAGTAAGTAGGGGAGAAGTAAAATGGAGTACTCACAAGAGGTGTACAAGTATACACATAGTTTCGTTTCCTTGTATTGTTATTAAATATGAAAATAGAAGTATTATGTAAGTATATTCAATTGAAAATAACTAGTTTACTGGGAGAACGTGGTGCATTTTGTGTGTCCACAGGAAAAGATAGTTGAAAAGATAATAAGCCACACTGTACTCATACCCATGGTCTTGTCAGGGTAATTTGCATGATGCTAAAATCAAATTTAGATCCCGTAAACATGTTGTTCTCCACAAGGAAGACAGCAATTAATGAAGATCACTTTATGCAAGAATGTCTGAATTATAGGTGGAGTCAATATTCAAGACATCTTATACCTTTTGTAAAAGTAAAATGTTCCCGTAATTAAAGCAAAGGGATTTCTTTTATTTACTGTGTCTAAATAGGAGCCCTATTTCTCCATTTCTTTTTCTGAGAATATAAAAAATATTTTACAATAAATATTAGTAAACTGTATTAGTAACTTGCCACAAATAAGTATTAGCAATACTCAAATATTACTCTTAGAATTCAAAGAGCCTAGGGGTCTGAAATAATCTAACCTACTGCACAGTAGCACTCTATAATATCCCTGACTAATACCAGTGCAGCTCCTTTCCAACTCCAGCAAGAATCCACGTCTTCACTAGATAACTCTTCCCCTAGTGAACCTGTCTGCCTGCTTAAAGATGTGCAGTAGCAATCTGCTTCCCTAAAACACTCACTGAATCCCCAATGTTACCCCTAATTTTAGGATCTTTCCAACTTGCTCTGAAATCCTTGCACAGAATCAGACCCCACTGGAGAAGCAGCAGCCCACAAGACTTGTATATATTCGCAAGAAAGGCTGGAATAACACAAAGTGTGGGTCTATCCCGAGGAATATCATCTGACCTGTCCTGCCAAGGCCTTCCAGGCCGCAGTGCACCCTAGGAAAGGTCAGCCCTCTAGCCTGTAGGTGCAGAAATCAGATTTTATAAAGCCCCACAACTGAGTGGGCTGAAGAAGCTGACTTGTGTCCAAAAAACTGCACAGAAATTCAGGACCAATTAATTCACTCAAACAAAATATACTGCTGCAGTCAAACTGATGAGATCCTCAGATGGTTCTCCAAAGCGATTCCCAATGTGTAGGCTACAGAGAAGTCAGCTTCTTTAAAGGCTGTTTAGAGAGCAGAGCATGAGGACAAAAGAAATGGTTTAACAGCGTCAGACACTGAGAGTCTAGCGTGTCCACCTCTGCAACCGAGACTCTGGGTTTCCTGGTTCGGAAGGGAGTGGGGTTCCCCCCAATAGGGCACCCTGAGAACACTGGAAGGTAGCGTGGACTTAACTTTCAGGAGCTTCTTTTCCGGAGCTGTAGCCCTTGTCCAGAGGTAAACGTTCTTTGTCCAGACACACGGTTAGTCCAATTTTACACCGACATAGCTCTCCTTTGATCTGCAGTGTGTTGCTTTGGTAGGTTCTCTGAATGGCATCTTATTCCAAGCTTTTTGGAGAGAAAAAGTCAGGAGTAACAGTAAACATACACATACAGCCCTCGCTGAATTGATTTAGTCTCTAAAATGCTGTGCCTGGCTCTGCCCACTCCCCTTAATTGACTTATGAGCAGGTGAGCCCATAGTGAGGGTAATTGCCATGCCCGCTGTCTCCTTCCCTGTAAGCTCTGGGACAGAAACAATAGGTACAGCTGTGCTTTAGAGGACCCCCCTATCCCTCCCCCCCTACACACACACACAGCTTCTATAATTCTTGAGTTTTGACTAGGAATGGGTTAGTCCACTCAGATTATACTAGAAATTGTTTTCCTAAAAGAGTCAGGATATCTTTTTTTTAATAGATTTTTATTGATTTCAGAGAGGAAGGAGAGGGGGAGAGAGAGAGAGAGAGAAACACCAATGATGAAAGAGAATCATTGATCATTGATCAATTGCCTCCTTCCCTATTGGTGATGGAGCCCACAACCTGACTGGGGAAAAAACAGTGACCTCCTGGTTCATAGGTCAATACTCAACCACTAAGCCATGCCCCAGGCTAGAGTCAGGATCTTTTAGAACAAACCATTTATAAACATTAAATAGAAAATTAGATATTTTCAACAAAGACAGAAGAGTTTCTACCATTATCACTCTCTCAGAGGAAAGAGCACAACCCTTACATTAAATCTCTTTTTATAGGGAAGACAGAAAAATTGATGTCAAAATCATCAGCCACAGGAGGGAACATACCATACAGACTTCCAGAGTATAATTATAATAATAATAAAGCTCTAAATGCTTTATTATTGCTTGAATACCTATGCATAAATATCAGAATTACAAATACAATGGTCCATACACATATTCGGTTGGAATATTAAATTTCTGTGTCTCTATTTTTTCTAATATACTTAAATTTCATTTCTAAAAATATGTCTACCGCATTACCAGGAGTGGTTATATATTCAGGTTTTCAATCAGCTGGTATACTTGGTTGGATTGACTATAAATTTGTTGACATATATTGATGTTTCCTCATTTTCTTGCCCAGGGATCATTTCTTCCACTCATTTATTTTCAATCTCCCTACTTTGGTGTTTGACAGAATCCCACAAATAGAGCGTGCTGAGCTCATGAGGGATGGTGTAAACTATTTAGCAGATTTGATGCTGGATACGCTCCCCCTCCCAGGTGCTCGCCCTGGCTGGGTAATGAACTTTGTAAAAAGGTGCAGCTTTTACCACACCGAGGCAACAGACTCACTCCCAACAAGCTCCTGTTTTGCCCTTGGTCTTCAGCTCATAAACGTGAATATGGTGCAAATCCAGAACCAAACAGTATGGGGTGAGAGCCAAAATTAAAAATAAAATAGCCTTAAAATCAGATTTTCAGTTAAGACAGTTCTTGGTCTTAATAACTGACAGAAAGACAAATCGCTCCAATGAAGAATTCCGGGACTGAAATCCTGGCCGCGGCTGAAAGGCAGGGAGGTACCGAAAACGCTGCCACGTGCAGGTGCGTAAAGGCACTGGAGGGTTGCTAACGAACCCTAACTAGAAGTGCTTAATAGTTTGCTGTGGGGACAGATTCAGAAATACGAGGGGAAATCAGTGCTGGCTCGTTACCTCAGCAGTGGGGCCAGCAAACCCCACCGCTAGGTCATCTTTAAGCAGCAGGTGCCTGGTCTGACTCTGGCTCGCAGCCCCCCAGAATGAGCCACGTCGGCCACTCTGGGTTCATGCGTGATCACAAGGTGCATCTAAGCACCGTGGTGCCCTACTTCCGCCTCGGTCACAGAGCCCCAGAGTGGATATTTCACTCAGCACAAATCCATTTCAGTTTGGTGCTTGCTTACTACAGCTGCAATTGGTTACCCAAAACACCACCATGACACAAAATTCCAAAATAGTTTGGAAGAATGGGAGAAAAAGAAAAGAAAAGAAATGTATACCTATGCCTATGCTTAGTCTTTCCGTGGAAGTGTTGCCTTCAGTTTAATGGAAAATGTCATAGTAGGAATGCAACAGTGCCAACAAAAGGTCACCTGTAAGGTAAAGGGTCTCAGACACAGAACGATGGATAATATCAGCCTCTCCACCATCCTCATTGGAGATCCTTTATGAATGTGGGTCTGTAATTTGAAATATGGCCCCTCATAACAAAGTGTGTAAATATTTCCACACAAGAAAGCACTTATTTAATAATTTATTTCAAACTTTAGTGTTTTGCAATGGACACCTAGATCATGAAATGTATAGATAGTTCACAACTTCACTTAAACATTAATAATACGTTTGTCTGATTAGTGAATAACGAAGGTATGTTTTTTCTCCTAAAGATTAGACTTATCATCCATGAATGTCAGTAAAAATGTTAAAAACACACTATAATTAAAAAAGTATACTTGGAAATAATAATCTATTCATAAGCTTAGTAGTTCATTCTCAGTCTTCCATTACTGCTGGCCAGTTACTGTGGTGTTGAGGATACTTTAGATTGACATTTAGAAAGTTACATTTCCTTTGTATTTGGGCAAGAATTTTAAAGTATGTCAGGTCTCAGGTCATAGAAAAGACTCAAAGTAGGCAAAACTTTATTATAAAATGAACATATAAGGAATCAAAAGACTGCTTAGGGGTGACATTGCAAAATATGAAGCAAAAGTATTTGGATTAATGTACGTCGGAAAAACATTTTAATATCCCTAGGAAAATATGAGAAAACAAAACTTCCTAATGACAAAGGAAAGGGTGTATTTTAAAACACAAGATTTTTTTTCTTTATCACAAGTTTAAATTGCACGTAACATTGTTAACATGGGCCAAATGTTACGCGTTACACATACTTACAATATTGGGTATGTTCTGTGTTCGTGGCTACATAAGCGATTATGAAATAACGCTCGTGCTAGCAAAATTCATGTTCACAGTAGATGAAAAAAAAAAAAGCCTGAAAGGAAACATTTGTTGAAATTTGCATTCAGTTTTGGAAAACATCTGCTTAACCACTGAATGCAGCCACATTTTAACTTTTAAGCTCCCACATTGAGAACGTATCAACGTATTGCAGCAATTTTCTCTGAGGGGCATTGTGCTAGGCTTTCATATTCAAAAAAATAGGCTGTTTTTTCTTGGATTATTTTGTGATAAATGTACAGTCTCCACACAAAAACATTAAGGCTGTCGGCCAACTCATGGGCACATTACTGGCTGTTGAAGATGCAGGAGACTGCATAAAAGCATGAAAAGCACGGGGTGATTTCCAGCTCCCTCTCCAAACACAATTGTAGGGACGTCCGTCTTTCAATTCTCCCTTTCTCCGTTAGCGTGGCCTTTCAGTTCCTGCCCTTTTAAATCTCTTTACCTACTGTACCTTTGCTTCCTAATGTCCTGCTTGATCTTCCGCTCAGAAACGTATTGACAGGGCGCTTGCTTTGATCTGTGTCCACAGAGAATGCTAACAAATTGGAAGAAAGCGCCAGAGAACACCACGTCCCTTGCCCGGAACATTACAACGGCTTCTGCATGCACGGCAAGTGCGAGCACGCCATCAACACGCAGGAGCCGTCCTGCAGGTAACACTCACTTTTACCCAGGAAAGGTGGGGGCAAGCTCGGGGACCCCAAATGCTGGGCCTGGGCAGGGCATGGGACCCCGTGTGGCCCGAACGGGGTGATCAGCAGCCAGATCTGATCACGCTTTCCCACCCACACAGGACCCACCAGGAACCTGTGAAATGTATGCGCCTTGCACACCTAAGTGCTGGGTAACACGTCATGACATACATACTCAGGGTGTTGCAAGCTCCTTAAAGACTCAGGCTCCTCTGTTTTATTCTCCCTCTTCCCCGTGGACTTAGGACAGCACTTGGCACATAGTAGGTGCTTCATAGTAGGTGCTCAGTCTCAAACAAGCGGGCAGGGAGCCTTCCTGCCTCAGGGCAACCTAGTTACCTCTAGGAGGCCATCTTTCCCTAGTCCCTGAGGCCTCAGAATAGGGGTCATGGCCCTGAGTCTTGCCAGGTATGCGTTCTTTTCTGTGGTCCTGCTATCCACCAGCCTTGTATGGTGAGGCAATAGCAATCCCTCCACAGACCCAAACTTGGATGAGACACAGAGAAACCACTTGTCTGGACTTAGTTAGTAAATGTACACATCTGCCCTAGCTGGTTTGTCTCAGTGGAAAGAGCTTTGGCCTGCGGACTAAGGGGTCCTGGGTTCGATTCCGGTCAAGGGCATGTATGTTGGTTGCGGGCACATCCCCAGTAGAGGGTGTGCAGGAGGCAGCTGATCGATGTTTCTCTCTCATCCATGTTTCTAATTCTCAATCCCTCTCCCTTCCGCCCTGTAAAAAGTCAGTAAAATATATATTAAAAATAAATAAATTTAAAAAAATAAATGTACACATCTGCTCAGTGTTCCCAGAGCAGTGTTCTTCCAGAGATGGTAAAGCCAGAATAAAAAGCCAATGCTGGTTTATTAAAGGTATACACACGTGACATATAATGAAATAGGTTGTGTACTGATATACAATGAAAGGAGTTTTTGGCCGCCAGCATGGCTCCATGGTTGAGCGTCAACCTATGAACCAGGAGGTCACGGTTCCATTCCAGATCATGTCACAGCTGGATCCCCATTGTGGGGCGTGCAGGAGGCAGCTCTCTCATCCTAGTTATTTTTATCTCTCTCCATCTCCCTTTCTTTCTGAAGTCAATAAAAATATTTTTTTTTAAGAAAGGAGTTTCTCTCTCTCTGTCTTTTCTCCTCTCTGCCCCTCCACACTCTTCTCAACAACTGTCTTCCTCTCCCGTTTCCCTTCCCTGAGTCATTAGCACCTGCCCCCCCACACCCCCTAAGTCAAGCAGAGTGAGCCTCACCAGAAGCCGCCCCCAGCCTCCCCCTCAGCCCAGTGGCCATGAGAAAACACTTCCAGGCAGACAGGAAGGCCCAGGATGGAGTTGGGAGAAGTTCCAAGTGAAGGACTAAATGGTTGTACAAAGTCCAGGACAGGCCAATCCCAGGGGATTGCTGTCCGGAAGCTGCTTCCTGGCTTCACTGTCAGAGCCGCCTCTGGCCCAGGTGCTGCCTGAGCTTCCAGAGGGGGCAAGGGGGGCAGCCTCAGGCTCGGGATGGCATCCTGGAAGCTGCCTCCCTGGTGTCAGAGGCCACGTCCAAGCAGCAGGTAAAGCGACTGCTCACATGGTGCGCCTGGCCCAACATGCCTCAGCACTGTGCCAAGGGAAGCATAGAGAACGCTCCCCACAAAGTGTAAGTTCAACAGCCCCTTTCGTTACCCGTGTCAGCAGAAAGAAGCCCATCTTCAGGGAATCATGCCGACAGGTTGCTCAAAGAACACGTTACATCAAACATAAAGTTCACCTGGAAAATAAAACAACAACAGAAAAGGGAGAATTCTCAAACTCTCCTATTGTGTGCATAAAGAGAAACCACGTTATCTTTGAAATCCAAAGCTCGGAGAGGTCTTTCTGAGAGTAGGAGGGGAGGAGTGATGTCTGCTCGGTAGCGTGTTCCTAGAGAAGGGAACGGGAGCCCTATTTGGTGATGAGGATCAATGCTGAGCCCGGCGGCTTCAGTGACCGGCTGTCCTGTCTTCCAGGTGCGACGCCGGCTACACAGGGCAGCACTGCGAGAAGAAGGACTACAGCGTGCTGTACGTGGTGCCCGGGCCCGTGCGCTTCCAGTACGTGCTCATCGCGGCCGTGATCGGGACGGTGCAGATCGCCGTCATCTGCGTGGTGGTGCTGTGCATCACAAGGTCAGTGCTGCGGGGAGGGACGCCAGACCAGGTAATGGCCAGCCCCCTCATGGACGCTGCGGCCACGTCTGTCTCACAGCCACATGGAGAGGTGTTGGTTTTCATGCTGGAGTAGCACCAATTATTTCTCTCATTCTGCATTTTGATGAGAATTATTTATTTTCTAAGCAAAGGTCTTAATCCTCTCTAATGTGTCATGCCAGTCTTTGTGTAAATATACTCTTCAGCCCTAGCCAGTTTGGCTCAGTGGGTAGTGTGTTGGCCTGCAGACCAAAGGGTCCCGGGTTCAGTTACAGTCAAGGGAACGTACCTGGATTGCGGGCTCTTCTCTGGCCCGGGCCCTGATCAGGGCTCCTGAAGGAGGTAACCAATCCATATGCTTCTCTCACATCAATATTTCTCTGTCTCTTCCTCCTCCCCCCACTTCCACTCTAAAAATCAATGGAAAACTATCCTCAAGTGAGGATTTAAAAAATAAATATACTCTATTTTTACTAGAAAAAAAAGTCAGTCTTCATTGACACTATTAATATACTTATTTAAATGACCACTGTTTCCTTACTTATCCAGGTCAATATGCTAAATGAGGTCAGAATAGATTTTAAGCAAGGCTTAGAAAAGTATTAAATTATATCTCTCATTTATGGCAGTTATATTTCCTAGTGTAATTCTTAGATATAATCATTTTTCACACATTTGATATAAACAACAAGTACATTTTTATCTTAACAATATAGCCTTTGATCACAAAACTCAAAGAAAATTGTCCAAATGAGAAAAGTCATGTTCTGGTACGTCAAAACTTTTGATATCTGGAAACGTGCAGCAAATATCAAAACCCCCAGAGCAATCAAATGGTTATTGTTTCCCAGAGAGCAAAATTGTGAGAGATGCAGAGATTTCATCCAGTTTCAACAGGAGAGAAATCCATGATTAATTAGTGATGCCTGACATGGGCTTGGAGCAAAGGATGGAGGCCTGGTACTTGTTTAACGTGACTAGCATATAAATCCACGGTAACCAAGACAAGAATTAGCTGCTAACCCAAAAGCACACAGTTTATGTCCCATCCAACAGAAACATGATTGAAGATATTACATTCATCCCCGTTTCCTCTCCTGGAGAAAAAATTTCTCAGGACGTTTTCAAGGTTTTTCCCACATTCACAGGGCATTTAGACTGTCATGTGTTTGCACAGCTCTACTGTAAATCAGAATGTTTCCCAAAAAAAATTCTTTTCAAAAGGGGAGAAAATGAAAGACAGTATCATATCTTTAGAAAATAAAGACCATGACACATCTCGGTCTCTGTAGTGCACTATCTTCTTGAGGATAAGTGTGGCATTTTCTCTTGAAAAAGACAAAATACGGTTCATAAATCCTTGCCCGGCCTAAAGGCTTAAGGGAGATCATTGACTGGAGCTCCGTGCCACTCTGAGCCAAGCTGAGTTCATCAACTGACTCGCACGTGTAGATGCCAAGTGAGTCAGTGGATTATATTAAAATAGATCCTGGGAACCAGAAAGATGACTGAAGAAACCAAAATGCTGAGTAGAAAAGAGAAGATAAAATGAACCTAAAACACAGCCCACTACACCATATCACTCTGAGGGTATAGAGCTTCCTAATAGCTAAGCGATATCAGGATATGGAAAACAACATTTATATTTAGTAGATCTAATCTGATAACAATTGAATTTGTTACTTCCTATACTCGCAAAAAATGAGAATGTTAAGTACTTTAGCAGATATTTTTGAGTCTGTTTTTAATCACATTTCCATTCCCATACACAATAAACACAACTGGAATGCGTAGGGTCCTAACCACACCAGGGATTGTGTGTATATATTATGTGTGTATATACACACATACAAAAAGAGAAAGAGAGAGGTATACATTGAATAGCATTATGAAGAAGGCGTAATTATCCCTACTTTCAAGAGAGGGACTCTGAGGTATGAGAAGTTACAATTTGCTGAGCATATATAGCTGAACAATAGGGTGGGAATGGAGGGCTGCCTATTGTCAGAGCTGTGCACTTGCCCCTGCTCATACTGCCCCCTTGCTGGTCACAATGCCCCATATTCCAATGGTCACGGCAACCTCAACTGAGCTCCAAATTAGAGCAAGCCACTTCTTCAGGGCAAGGTCATTATCATAATCTGTGTTAAAACAAGCAAAACTTAACCTTCTGTTTACTTTTGAAAAAGAGAAATAGCACATGAACTCAGTCAGCATTATTGTAATGCCTTGTATAAACCTGTCTTATGGTAGCCAAGTCTTCCAAAGTCTTTCCAGGAGTCGAACTGGTCAGCAAACTACACCGTTCCCAGAGTGGATTATTTCAATCACGTGAAAATATTTTGCTCAAAAGCCAGGCTTTCCAACTAGGCCACCACCCCCCCTTCACGCCCAACCCTCCTCCACACACACACACACACACACACACACACCAAACCCTCACTTCTTGGTAACCTGGACACGTGTGTGTGTCAAGATCTACTCCAAAATATCCAGTTGCTAAAAGATTTAAAATATTGCACCAAGCAGAGATCCCTCTTTTCTTTTCAATTTTTAAAAAAATCTCTTTATCACCTGGATTCTCCTGTTTTCTACTTTTCTTCCTTTTCTCCTCATGCCACATTCTTTTTTTTTCTGATTTCTTCTCCTCATTTTTACTATTTTAGTTAAGCACCTGCCCTTCTCCTAAATTCAACATTTTATTAAAAAATATAAACATCTAGAGACATGAAAGAGTTGCTCTGTTGAGAAGATGGGTTTTCAACCTTTTAATCTCTGGCTCCTGCTTGCTAAAATATGACTCCCAGCTCCATGTTCATTTGGATAGCTTTACCATCCCCCTCCCCAAAAGAACCACACATATACGTACTCTGGTACCCACAGCTTATTACGATAGGATTTTTATGAACTTTACCTTGTTGTTCTCATTTGCATCATCAAAGCATTCTTGTATTACATGACAAAAGGTACTAGGTCAGAGCCTTTCAGATAATTTGACTGAATATTAGCTTTTCATAGAGGCTGCATAATTGGGACCAATTTATGTCCTTGGCGTATGGTATTAATGTGAAAAATGATATTAGGCTGAAGCAGTATAATGTCTCTTCCCATTATATGTCAGATATTAGCACTTGGCTCATTCTCTAGTTTGATGGGATTTAAACTTGCAGCGTTGAAATGTCAATAACATTCATCCTTAGGACATTTAAAGTACAAAATTGTCGAAGATCTTTCAAGTGAGATCAGAGAGGCTCACAATTTGTTTGATTGCACATGCTGAGTCATTCTTTGTGCTTTGGTGAGTCAGCAGTTGAAGGCCTACTAAATGCATTTCTCTTCAACTCTTCAATGAACCTAACGATGACTGCACCTTGGCGGTACTACTAGTACATTCTTTCCTCTGAACTATTTTAATAACTTACTTAATCCATAACTTCGCTGTGAGATTGTAGAACCAAACTACAGGTGATAGCACTGGACTAAGTCTGTAAACTTTCAAACCTTCTAGGAAATGCCCCAGAAGCAACAGAATTCACAGACAGAAGCAAAACACAGGGCACTACAGTTCGGACAACACAACGAGGGCATCCACACGGTTGATCTGAAGGGAGCATGTTGCCCAGTGCGTGGCCGGACTGCCGAGAGCTTGGACTACACATACAGTATTCTAGACAAAAGAGTAAGACAAGAGATCTACACATGTTGCCTTGCATTTGTGGTAATCTACACCAATGAAAACACGTCCTACAGCTATATTTGATTATGTATGGATATATTTGAAATAGTATACATTGTCTTGATGTTTTTCTGTAATGTAAATAAACTATTTATATCACACAATATAGTTTTTTCTTTCCCATGTATTTGTTATATATAATAAATACTCAGTGATGAGAAAAAATGGCATTCTTAAATTTGCGGTACCTCATAACTGTAAAAACGATTGAGACAGTGCTATCTGGACAGGCCCAGTATTTCATCTCTCTCCACATCTTGAGGCAGAGCATTCGTTTTAGACAGGACTCAGTGGCTAGGTTTTGAGTGATTCCAAGATCAAGGGAAATAGTGGTTATTGGAAAAGAGAAAAAATAATTTACTTTATATTGAGTGAGGATAAAATATTTCAGATCTTTGAATCATCTCTATTTTATCAACTTTCTTCCCTGGTCCTCCATTTTCATCCCCAGAGCAGAAAAATCTCTGGCATATAAATTCAATCAAAGAAGAAGGGAATGGAAAATGTTTTATCACTCATAACAGAGAAGGGAAGCATTTATTGGTTTTTATTTGCGAAGCATCTCAGAATCTCCCAGTAAGTGCACATATCCGAGCGTCCTGAGCACATTACATGTTAGAAATACACAGAGTCCACAATCTATTCCATTTACGGGTGGAATTAGCAACTATGGGAAAATTTTAATAACACCATTAAATGTTTAACACCAAAATCATGAACTCTTTGAAGCCCCTAGCTATATCTGTAGTATATAGTTCTTTAAAAGAAGTTGGAATCACAATCAAATACCTCATGAATAGCTTTATGATTAATGAATCACTATTATTTGAAATGAAATGGAACTAAGGTGATGAAATTCTTATATAATAAAAGGCTAATATGCAAACCTACTGAATGGTGGAATGACCAGTTGCTATGATGTGCACTGACCACCAGGGGGCAGATGCTCAACGCAGGAGCTGGCCCCTGGTGGTCAGTGTGCTCCCACATGTAGAGTACAGCAGAAGTGGTGGGAGTCTCTCCTGCCCCCATAGCAGCACTAAGGATACCCACTCCCACTCCCCAGTGTGCCTAAGCTGTCAGCTGGACAACCCCCAAGGGCTCTAGGACTGTGAGAAGATGCAGGCTGGGCTGAGGAACCCTCTCTCCCCCACCCTGAAGTGCATGAATTTCATGCACTGGGCCTCTAGTATTTTATAAAATAGAAAAATATGTTTTAAGCATATTTATATGATGAGATTTTAAAAAAGAATCCCATAGCATCTGAAAGAGCTTAGTGGGAAGTTGGTGGATTTTGAAGCACACAAATATCTAGGACTAATTCGTTTTAGAAGAAATTAACTAAAAATGTATCAAAGAAACATGAAAATAACAAATCAAATAATTGCCTTTTTATTATGTAGTTCTTTATAGCTTTCGGTAGCTATAACAAAGCTTTCTTTGTCTCCTCCAAATGACCTCTGCATGGACTAAAAGGAGAGACACTCCTATGTCAAAAAAAAAAAGAAAAGAAAAAAAAGAAGAAGACAAGGATCAAAGCAACACATTCTGAATATAAAATATTCAGTGAAAAATAAGTTTCCTCCAGTGATATTTAAGATATTTGCTAAAACATTAAAAGGTGACAACCTACATAGGAGCTGGGACTCTGTGAAAGCCTGTTTAACTGGGTTAGTGTTCACTTTGAGAAGTGTGAATCCCTTGGCATAGCCACCATTCAGCTGTTCCCATAAACTAGTCCTGTGCCTCTAGTACAAAACACACTCCATGTAAACGTCTGCGAGGAATTTTGGTTTGGAAACAGATGCAGAAATGTAAGCAGCCCTGGTCTCCTTTAGAAGACAGGACTTGTAGCAAACAAACCCTTCCCCTAAAGGAAGAGCAGAAATGCAACATCACGGGGCTTATCAGCCTTAAAAGAAACTCCAGTTCACTGACTGGCACTTTTTGTGGGGTATTCTTGGACAATTCTTATTTTGAGAGCAATTATCCTCATAGTGAGTTTGAAATTTATTTCTCTACAGTTTCTGCCCATGGCTCCTCTTTTTTTCTCTCTGGAGCAAAAGAATATGAAATATGTATTTAAAATGTCAGCTCAGATGTCACATTTCCCACTTTCCCCCACAACCCTCCACAACCCGTTTACAAGTATTTTCTTCTTCAGATGAAATGTCCTTAATGTCCTCATCTGATCTCCATTTGTGTGCGACTCCCACATCTTCCTGGCCCCTGCAAAAGCCTTCCTCGGACAACCCCTCCTCAGTCAACTTCTTCAGGTGTGGAGTTCAGAACTGCACAGATTGCCACAGGTGTGGTCTGACCAGCATAGAATGTAGCCAAACTTGCAGAAAACAGTTTCCCTGAGAGCCATGATCTCTACATTCATGTCCTGCTGGGACCACAGCTTTGCTTTGGGAACCATGAGCAAGTCATTCCACATCTCAGGTCTCCACTCGCTCATCACTTCCATCTCTGTAATTCCAAGATTCTAGATGCTCACACCCAGTCGCCATACTTTTATTTACTGTTGCTACCTAAGACCACATTCGCTTTTGTTGCTACTTATCCTAACTTAAAGTCAAAACTGCAGCCTGCAGGTCACCCGGCAGGAGAGCAATGGCCAGCTCCTCCCATAGCTGCCTCCCCCCGCCCAATGTGGGGGAGGTGGGGTGATCACAGACAGGCTGCTGGGAGCAGCTGATCTGGCCATACCTGGAAAACAGTCCGTGTCTCCAGGCAGCCATGTGCAACAGCAGGAAGGACACGCCACCACAGGAAGCACCAGCCCTGCCTGCAGGACACAGTGCCTCTGCAGTCCCCGGGGAGGAAGGGTTAGGACTGCTCAGCGGAGCCAACCTTCGGAAAGTGCGGTTTAGTTTGAAAGGATGAGTAGTAGGAGAAACAACTGCTCTGCAAGTGGAGGTTAAGAAAGAAATGGGCCCAGCCGGTGTGGCTCAGTGGTTGAGGATCAAACTATAGACCAGAACGTCACGGTTTGATTCCCAGTCAGGGCACAGGCCCAGGTTGTGGGCTCCATCCCCAGTAGAGGGCGAGCAGGAGTTAGCCAGCCAATCAATGATTCTCTCTCAATGGTGTTTCATCTCTTTCTCCCTCTCTCTTCCTCTCTGAAATCATTAAAATTAAAAAAGAAAGAAATGGGAACGGAAGTCCCGTGTCCCCTCTCAGCCTTTCTAAGTGTGTGGCTGAGTTCCTCCCAGGCCAGCAGAGCCCACCGCCCAGGCCTGGGGGACAGCCAGGATGAGCCCCGGAGGCTGGGTTCACCCACCCGCGTCCCCAGAGTGGCATTAGATTCCCTCCGAAATAAGATGCTCATGCATGTTCGTGTCCATTGTCAATGATGTGTGATTTACAGGAAATTAACTCTCCTGCTTCCTTGCAGCTGCATAGGGTTAAGAGGAAAGGGCTTTTCCTTGTTGAACAGCAGATGGGGACGCACAGCCTCTCTGCACTGGGCCTGGCCAGTCGCAGGCTTCCTCCCTCCATCAGGGCGTCTCAAGGGAGTGTTTTGTAGCAAGGATCTTGGGTTCAGAACTTCTGCATTCCTCTCGGAGTTTAACTCTGGGTAAAAACCTCTCCCTCTCCCCTCTTCCCTCTCCCCTCTCCCTCTTCCCTTTCCCCTCTCCCCTCTCCCCTTTCCCATCTCCCCTCTCTCGTCTTCCAGAAGCAGCTAGGAAAATGCGTTCTACAAAGGGCGATCTGGATCCCAAGCTGCTCTGGCCAAAAAGTGAGGAAAAGGCTGCCTCTTTTCTCATCGCACATCTGTCGCTTTTCCGCATCTCTTTTGCCGCAAACATGAGCACAGTGCTTCCCCGGCTGAGACTGAGGATTGATTGCACATTAACAGGGAACTGAAAGTGAGCTTCCCCCAGCCCACATCAAAAATGCCATTTTCTCCCCCAGCTTCTGCCAGACCCAATGCCAGAAACCCAGGACAAAGGCGAGTCCTGAGCCGAGCCTGCGCAGGAAGGAAGTGATGGGCGGCAGCAGGGGGACAGTCCATCCTCTGAAGCTCAATGGGGCCCGAAAACTCCCCGAGAAGTTGCACAGAATCACCGAGGGGGCTGAATGCCCACACGCTGGCCAGCCACCCCAGATGGACACTTTCTTTTGCTACATTGTCAGCTATGGAGAGCGGCCACAGTGTTTGGATAGGTCCTAGCCTCGGACTGAAGAGAGGGCCCAGTCCTCTCGTGGCAAAGCCACGTGCAAGTCCCAGCCTGGAGGGCAGAGCCTCCCAGCACCACTATAGCCAACAGCTGTGGCTGTAAGCTTGCACCTATGGTCCGAACACGTGGTCTCGCGTGCCTGAGTGGTGTGGACTTGATAAGTGGTCCCAGGTGCCTGAGTGATGTGGGCTTGATAGAGTTCAGGTGCAGGTAGTTGAGTAGAATTGAAACCCAGGAGAATGTTGGAAACATTTTGGCCACGCCCTCACTGTGCCTCGTGGCATCGGCTATAAAATGAAGACACAGGTTGTAGGCGTGGGCGTTGTCTCTCCATCAGAGAAGCAGTGTCTCATCGAGACCCAGCTTTCATTCTCTTGTCTGTCGTTTCTAAGCCTTTCAGCTGCCCTTACTCAGGGTCACCCCTGGCCGCCTGGCCATGCTGGCGCGGCACAGTCAACCCCCTGTCCGCCGAGTACACGAAGAGGCAGATGCCACAAAGAAGGGCTTTGAGGGGGGAGAGACCAGAGAGCCTGTGAGAGCCTCAGAAAACTCATGCTGAGCAAGATCTTCCACTGTGTGGAAGTCTAGTTTGTAAAGAATTTCAACTTTTAAATTGAAGTTAGGCAAATTACATGTTATTTTCAGAAAAATATAAAAGACCGGCCAGTGTGGCTTAGTGGTT